TAACGAAATTTAAGAACGGTGAACTGTTGACCAAACCAAGTCCATATATGAGAATATCGGAAAGAGGAATGAAACTGGTCGAATTTATGTTTGCAACGAATCTGAGGTAAGTTTCTGCTAAGTAGATGCGTGAGTTATCCCAGAAGGAAGCTTGGATGTTTCAGATTCCCTCCAACGATTGGACGAGTTCGTTACAGTGAATGGCTGGACGAATGTGACGAAAACCCACCGGTATTTGTCCTGTTTCCTAGCTGAAATTACTAACCAGTTTAGTCAGAATAATAAAACTCTCATTCCCACAGACCTCCTCAGGACACTTCGCATACGACTCTCAGCCAGAATAGTTCTGTAAAAAAAATCCGAAAATCTTGGAGTAGGTTAGCGCTCCGGAATAAGCCATGCATCCAACTTTAGATCAGAACTGGGCAGCATTTGAGCATGTCTTCAGCAATCGGAATAGCTTCTGAATGCTTCAATGGTTACCCCCTCGAGGTCCAAGGTCTTGCGGGGAAAGAACTTGTTAGTTTTTGCAAAATGTGATAGATGGGCAAAACCCAAGGTTTATTTACTTTGATAGGTTTTTCTGCAGTTCACGATCAAGGACAACAATAAACACAACAAAAACAATAAATAAATGGTCAAATTAGGTATAAATTCGTACGGTATAAATTAGCCACATTTTGTACAAGAGGACGTATCAAGCACAATCAGCTATCATTATCTGTAAAGCTATCAAATCATAACAAATGTTTATCAAGATCATCAAACGTTGATTCGGGAACCATCGTAGGCCGAATCCCTTTGTATACCCGCACGAGAGCCTTTTTTACTTCCTCAACATCACCCAACTTCGCTGATACTGGGAGAACATAGTCAAAAATCAGAGGAGTTACGGGACGAAATTCTTCGGGAACATGTTGGGGCCAATCTATGGCACGCATCTTCTCTACCAACTTTTCAGGTACCTGAAGGTAAATAGGATTTAGATAGGAGCATGCTGGGCCTAAAAGTCGTCTACTTACCCCTTCGGGAGCGATATCGATCTTATTAAACAGTAGAACTGATGGTTTGTGAACCAACTTCTTGCTGTAGTTTTCAAGTTCGCGATTCAGAAGGGCGACAACTTCGATTGGAGATCTGCAAACACAATTAGATACATAGCACGAGGCGGAGGCTGAAAAGACAATGCAGATGGGCCCTCATCAAAAGAGGTAACACCAAGGCCACTGACAATCGATAAACGGCTATCGTGTACTACCGGTTGTGCACTCCTAATTGCCCGCTTGTAAGAATGCAAGCCCCAAAGTACTTGGCAAGACGAATCCTACCATTATTCTTCCCGAACTTCGCCATGTACGATCAATTGAGGACAGATAAAAAAGGGACGTTATTTCCCAGGTTCGAGGCAGAAACTGTTTCATAACCCAGCATATGCAAGATGTATACGATACAGTTATTTATAAACAACAAAAATACACCTGAAAGGTTCATTCAACTTGTTTGACAGCTGGAATCCCATACAATCCACTATCAATAGAAGAATGTCCGAGAATTCAAGATGTTTGAGAAATTTATATCCTTTTCCACGGTTCTGTGATGCACCTTCTATCAATCCTAAATAGAATTCGTTGAACTAAATTTGAAGAACTCTACAAATACGTAGCTTTCCAAAGCTAAAAATATCTCCTCTTGTTAGAAAAATAAAAAATTATATACCTGGCAAATCTGCAAGAGACAATGTGAAATCGCTTTCTGCTTCTTTCTTTCCTTTTTCTGGCGTCCAAAATGCCACTTGTGGTTTGGTCTGAAGCTTCAACATATAAGACAGACATATAAGAAATATCGCTTCAACAAAGGGACACAAATGTCCAGTATTTACTAGGTACTACTCCTAGATCTCCACCATGATTGACCAACAGGACTAGGGACAAAAATATGCTCATCAGCACGACTCATTCGGTCTCCCACATAAAGGACGAACGATGAACCTCTCCCAGTCAAGGTAGGTGAATTGTAACGCAGAACGTACCGTCGTAAACGGATAAGGAGCTATTTTAATGCTTTTTCGTGGCACAAAGGCTTTCATCAACGTCGATTTGCCAGCATTTGGAAAACCAACAAGTCCTACATTAGGACGAAGTTTCAGATGAAGCGATACGGTAAACTGCTCTCCAGGTTCACCCCTAAAACACGAAACAAATTAGTCTACAGGACATCCAGATTAGAGAAGCTCCAGCTTCCTTTTTTACCAAGAATTCACTGACATACTTGTAATTATTCCTTGCATCTCCACCACAGCCTCCCCTTGCTATCAGATAATTTTGAAATGGCCTAGAACACCGTGCAAGTAGCACATTTCGTTCCTCGTCCACCGCATCAATCCCCACGGGCACATCCAAAAACTGAAAAAAATCCTAAGAACCTTAACTTCCCTTATAAAGTATTTGTTGAAAAAATAAAATTACATCCCATTTAATGAGCTTTCCTCGAACTTTCACGAAATAAAGAACGAAAAAAGTATTCCAAAATTAACCCAGAGGGGAAAACGTACCGCATCTGCCCCATCTTCGCCAACGAGCTTCACTTTCTGACTGGGAGTCCCGCTCACAGCTTTCACTCGCATTTTTCCACCCAACCGCTTTTTGATGTCGGCGAAAGCCATACTTGGTAAGGCTCTCAAGAACACGCTACCTCCCGTTCCTCCACGTCCATCGTAGCTGTAAGCGAGTGATGTATCATCAAAAACAACAGTCCATCATGAAAAAAGACGTAATTCAAAAGAAATTACAGTCCGATATAGAGATTAAACTCAAAGGATAAAGGATAAAGTATCGGGGCGTTAAACAATCCCGTCTGAGGAATGCGCCCCGCATTCGCCTTCCATTCAGAATCATAGTGGCGTATTGAATACGTACAATGAATTGCGGTGGCCATCCGATGTACAAGTCACTGCTTTTATCCTCCCAGACGAGTCTGGATACCAATTAACCGACTCCGGAAGGATGGAAGGCTTGGTTGGCCTAGGCGAGTATCGACCTAGGACGCGAACTCGTAACCGTGAAGAGCGCCACTTGCCACTACACTACTTCTGCCCTGGAGGAATTAAACTTATGACGAGTAAACTGAGCTAACAAAGTTTATTCTTCTTCACATTGATAAGCCTTTCGCATAGCTTTCCAAACTGTTGTTAGGGAAGATTAACAATAACTGTGAAGCTTGTACACAGTTGGGACTGGTTTCTGGGGAGTATGAACTACAGAAATTCCCTACCGTTGCAATCCGTGTCCACCTGAACCAGCACGTACTCGTATTGTATAGACGTCCTTTTCAACAACTCCCAAATCATGATTGATTAATTTTTGAACTTGCTTGATCGTAGTTCGTAACAGTGGAGACACGAAATTCTTAAAGAGGACTAAAAGCCACCGATTGAAGATCAAGTTTTCCCCACCATAATTCAGTTTTTCCAGTTAGAAGCCCCGCTCTTTTGTGGTTCAAACCGCTTAGCATGCAAGTGGAAGTGTTAACGCTTGTCGGCACTACAGAAAAGAAAATCAGCTACTATCCAGCCGCCTTTGTATGAATGCCTGTCTCACCAGCCCGTACTGATAGAGAAGTGCTGCCTCTACATCAACTTTGTTTTATTAATTACCCTGTTTTCATTTATTCTCTGAAGTCGACATACCCGAGGCACAGTTTTGGAACTCGAAGGCTTTTAGTATTAGAACTTTCCCGAAAGGATGGTCACGGAAACCCTGATGAATGCTCACTAGGGGAGAGTAAGGTAGGGGAAGATCATTAAGCCAAGGCTAGCACTTTGGTAGCGACTAACCTCAACTTGTATCCGTACGGACCTTTCAGTCAAAATGTGGGTAACATAGTCAGGGGCCTGCAAGATGAGGCCACCTGAATTCAACAGAAAACAGACCCCCAGACGCCCTGTTCCATAACTACTTTCCAGTGCAGACTGTCATCCGCAAGAACTCAAAAAGCGTCGCCTAGTAACGCCCCTATCACTAACACATTTATCTATGTCCACACTACTATAAACGCGCTAAAGCAGGTAAAATGGTAGGTCCCCACAAGGGCCTTCTGGAGAGT